AGAGCGATTCACAGATGCATAAGAGACAGACAGACACAAATGTAGAGAAAAAGATAAAGATGGTAGTTTGTAGTCAGAAGTCAACTGCTCGTATACGTTGCCCAGGGTGCACCAAGTGGAGGTAAGTCTATCGCACACCCCAATCCTATGTGAACATAAAATTCTTTATTTCAGTTAATTAATTTTCCAAGCTTGATGTTCTTCTAAAATAACGAGTAAAATCCTATGACAATTTGAGAAACCATATAAACGCTGTGGAATCATAAACTAGAATAATGCCACTTTTAAGGAGTTACTAATTACTTCGAAATCAACTTAAATTCTTTTAATTAATTTTGCTTAAGTAATAAATGCACTCAAATAGTTATTTAACTATTTTAACATTTATTTAAAATGACCATATTTGTAATAGGTATGTTATCTCACAAGTACGAGTATGTAATTTCAACCCTTTCCTGAGTTTAATACTGCGGCCACACATTCCGCATGTCCTGTGGATTTCAACAAATATCTAACTATATTTATTTAAAATGTACCGGAAGTGGACATAAATCCATGCCACCAACAAGTTTTGGTGAGTCAAAAATGAATTAGTACCTTTAGGCAGTCAAGCTGAAGATCTAGTTAGTGGGATTTTCTATTGACAGTAGAATACTTGGTTATGCTATATATTAATTTACTACAGAGCATCACCATAATAGTGAATTTATATGTATATAAAGTTCCTGAAGGTAAACTATGAGTTTTAAATTAACGCATTAATATATTTAAAATGGGACTTCTTTGCAGGATCGAAATGGCAGCTTGTGCATATTTATAATTTGAGACTTTTTATTTTTCAAGTTACCAGTATTTAAACACTTTATTAATTAGGGTGTATTTAGAGAAAAATTAATATCAATTATTACTCCTTTTGTTTAGCTATTTCAAACCTTTAAGTTGATTGGACCTCACGGTTAAACATGGACAGTTCGTATTGCCTTGCTTTCTCTGATATTTTCCACTAAATTGGTTTGGCTTTTGTTTTATATGGATTTTTATTTGCCTCTGAGCATTTCTACAAGCTTGCAGCAATATAATCGTCTGTTTTGGGGCATGTAGATAGCTTCAATCTCTTGTAATTAAAAAAGATATCACGTCTAACAAGCGGAATACTTCCTCAATTTTAAAAGAAAATGTCCTCCAATCATCAGCAAGACGGTTTACGTAATTCCCGAGATGCCAATTCTTTATTTGTTGGTCCTAATTTTCGAGTCGGAAAAAAGATCGGTTGCGGAAATTTCGGTGAAATTCGATTAGGTTTGTTGGCACAATTTCGTATTTAATAATTTCTTGCTTCAAGTGATCTTATTGCGTTATTGCTTCAAGTTTTTTGTGCACTGTATTTTTTTTTGCATGTTCATTTTACCGGATTTTGCTATCGTAACTTTGATTTTCATCAATGTCTTTCGTACTTAAGGTATCTATGAAGGTCCAGACGATAAGGGTAAATTTTTCAGCTTGGTTTTGCTGTTATTCCGTTTTTTTTTGCTAAAGTTCTATTCACGTTGAATTTTAACGTTTTGTTGCTTTCTGCACTTTATTGCCAGATAATACTGATTTTTAGTCACATTTTTATCTTTTAACGCTCTAGTTTTCTAACATATTTGATTTTGAAGTTTTGTATCTTTATTTAAATAGTATTCCCGTTTTGCACATGATTCTGTAGGGCATGGTTTTTTTTTCCCGTTTGGCTAGATAGGTATTTGTGGAACTATATAATGTTTGACTAATGTGCTTGTTCTCTATATACTTTCTGCGTACTGTTACCTTTGTGTGCGTATGTGGTTGATTGGTGACTTTAAGGTTTCGCTTTATATGCATCTCATTACTTCACCCCTTCGGATCATACCGTTTCAGAGACGTAAATTAGTTACGATTGGCGTACTATTGCTTTGAAACTGTCTACCTGAACTGAATTTTAGTCCCAAGTACGTGAGATTAGTTCCCAGCTGCTTTCGGAATTTTTATGTTCTCAACAAAGTCAGCCAACTTTTTGCCTTCTTCGCAATTGCGTATTTTCCTTTCGTGTGTTCCAAAGCGCACACTTAAACGGGCTTGGCAATTTGCCTGCCAAGGCACAAACTCAACTGCAAAACATGCAAACTTTGAATCGCCTGTCTATCGCCTTATTACTAGTGGTCAGATTTATCAGGCCGAAGAATTTACGCTTTTTATCATTTTGGAGGTTCTTCATGCTCCTAGTAACATTATTCTATTTTGGTTCATGTTTAAGTGCTGTTGCCTGCTAATACTTCTGTGTGCTTTTCCAGTTTATCATTGGGCCTTTCTTAGTGCAATTACCGTAATTGTTAAGTTAATTCTCCGTTAAAATGTGTGATCGAGAGATTCGCTGCTCGTTTGACGACGTAGTTAGGGCTGTTATGGGCTAATTAGCACTTCAATGATTCATCATCTTGTTGCTTCTCTGTGTGTGTGATTGACCTTGACCCGATCTAGCGAAGTGCCTCATACTTGTACTGTGCTGGTGAGTGGCTCCTTTACTTAGTTTGACTATAAGCATATGCGTTTCCTTGTTCCACAGTTTATTTTTGACTTTTTTGCTAAAGGTCACTTATGAGGATATTGGCCTGCGAATTTTATGCACCTACTTACTTATCTGGCCAATTAAATGGATTAGTTTGAGCACGGACAAGTGTGTTTCCTCAATGCTGGGTCCTCACTATTAACTGGTTCCTATTTTATACTTTTTCTCTAAATATTTATCGGAGTGGTTTTGAAGGGAGCGATTCTAGTAAGCTCTGAATAATTAAGGCCGTGAATAAAATTTAGTGTTTATGAGACAGGAGAGAATAAACAAACTGACAGCACTTCGTGTGCGTGTTAAAGTATCCAGATTTTAGTGTAAACACACTTCTCTCTCTCTCTCACGGGTTCACTCTCAATACCTCTTTGTCTTGAAGGCAAAAATCTCTACACCAACGAGCACGTGGCTATCAAACTGGAGCCTATGAAAACACGTGCACCGCAACTGCATTTGGAGTATCGCTTCTATCGCATGTTGCAGACTGGTAATGCTGGTGAGTCCTTCATTCCTTTCTCAATATAATTTTGGTGGCTTTTGTTGTGATTGTATACCCTACATTACCACTATTGGCAAATGGTATTGCAATGCATCTGAACATGGGTGTAATTGGGTTTAAACTTTGATTTTGTATATAGGAGCGCGATTTGGAGATTGGGAGGTATTTTTTTAACAACCCCTGCCAAACTTATATGGCAAAATAAACTCTTGTCTACCATTTTGGTTACTTTTGTGGTATTAATAGAAATTGTTCGGTTTAACTTATGATTTTCTCTAAATATAAAACCATTTGATGCGAATTCAGACATTGAACCCGTCTTAAAAGAAAGCCATCAAGTTCATAATTTCAGTGAGGATTAGTTAAATTCAGCTTACACATGGAGGCGCTGAAGACGAATTTGTTCAACTCCCTTCTACCTCCTAATGACTCACCCACTTATGCTTTGAATGTGTGACGGTGTAATTGGATGTCATCATCTAACCGATTGCTTTAATCCCTCTTCTAAATTAAGTTTGTGGCGTCAATATGTGCTTCTCTATTTGCTTGATTCAAGTAATTATGCAAACATAGGACTTTGACATACTTTTCAAAATTATTTCTTTGTATTACAGCTTTATTATTTTAAAACTTGTTTCTATGTGGTGTACCACCGGGTCTCTTTAAAGCCCACTTTATAGCGGTAAGTGGGTATTAAACTTTTTGGTCGATTTCAAAAAAAACTTTTTTCCATGGGGCTACATCTCTCTTCGGCAACAAGTTCTTTTTACTAATTGTCATTAACATTTTTTTCTGTTAAGAAGTGGGTTGTTTTTTAAACAAAAGCGGAGTGAAAATTAAGGAGAAGCAAAGATATATAGTCAAGTAGTGACTAAGCAGTCACCCCTTGACGAATTCACTGCCTTCTGAATTCGTGGCTTCGTTTCACTAGCCACTTATTGTCGTCTGTAGTTTTTTTTCCCAATTTATTTGTAAACGAAGACTTCAGTTCCAGACGTTATGGGCTCATCAAATGGGTTAAAATGGGTAGTTACCTGTTCCCAAAATCTGCTTTATGCCTCCCATTCTTGTTTCAGGGTTTTCAGTACCCACATTCTCTTGAGTTAGTTAATTCAGTAGTTCCTCCGTGTGACCTCGAGCATAAGATTCTTTTTGCTGTCTTTTATACTTTGAAATTTAATTTTATTAACATTCTAGGAAATATTGAATAATTTTTTTTGAGGATGGATGACAGCAATATATGTTTCTTTTTTTCTGTAATAGTCCCTCAACTAACACTTTTTCTTTCTCCTGGAGGGCGTTGGGGGGGGGGGGGGTGGAGGGTGATGGTTTTCTTTCACTATGCACCTTATTGTAGTTTTAAAGTTAACTCTAAAGTTTTCGTTGTTCTCTCTCTGTGTCATCTGCACTTCTCAAGGCTACTGCTCCGAGTTTTTTCCTTTTTTAATTGCAGAAAGGAAATGAGGGCGCTTATTATAGGCTTTATTTTTCTTATCCACTTTATAATGTATTTTTTTGTTGTACGCGTGATTACGATTTTCTTTGTCTTTTGATGCTACACATCACCTGCTATTGAGTTTTTTTTTATCAAGCATGACGTTAGGCTAATAGTTGTGCCACCTTTATCCGCGACGCCTTCTAACATCCTCAAACACTGAGGTGGGTGATGTGGTTGGGGTTCTTTTGAATGATCCCTACTTTTTTCCGCCATGTCTAGTAATTTGTCTGGAGTGGCCCAAGATAAAAGGCGTGCTGTATGAATGATGGAGGTAAATTAATATTATACCTTTATTTAATTGTAATTAATGCTGAATGTTACGAAAAATAGCCATTAACTTCGATACACCGCTCATCACGTCTCTTTTATCCTGGCTACGCGGTGTATTCGCAGTTTTAATCGAATTTCGTAATTATTTCCAACCAATCAGGCAATTTACTGCCTATTACTATGGGCTCATTCATTTTACGCCCCCTTTTATTGTGTATTGAATCCTCTTTCAGTCCCAAAATAATAATAAAGTGATCCCTGGTCTCGTCAGGAAGTCGGTTTTTTACTTTGGTATTTTTGTTTCCCTTCCTATTCTGTATATTTGTAGCTCAAAAAATTTCAAATTTTAAGGGAATCCTTTATTTCCCACGATGTGCAGTAATTATTGATCGATTTTTTTTTAAATCATAGTTACAAATTTCAAAAAAAAAGTTCGGAGTATTTCCAGCCTGCAAATCTTTCCTCGCAAAACAGTCCGTAGTTAGTCTGAGATGTGAGTGTGGCATTTCTCATTGGCATTGTTCAAGGTCATTTTTTATATGCGCGTCAAGTTCAGCCGGCAATTGCGTAGTGTCAGGTTCTAGCGCGATGACTAATCAAGCGGTACGCGGCTGTGGAAGTTAACCTGACTTTCACTGCCTCAGTGGAGTTCTCCCAGTTTGAGTGACTTTTGAGCTTCTAATTTCGGTTCCGTTTAATTTCCCCCCTTCTACAGCAGTTTAAAGGGGAGCAGTCTGTGTAGTGGCTTTATTAAAATACCTTAGTAACATGAAATATTTGCATAGGCATGCCAAAATAGTTGGAGTGACTGGAGAGACGACTGATAATCAAATAATTGAGCATTATTCACTTTTGGATATGATCACTTCGGCTGAAATGTGGGGATAGAGAAATGCTAGCAAAGCATCAGTTTCTCTTATTTTTACAAGTTTGCGCGTCATGGGGATGTGACTCATCGGCGCCATTATAGCAGGGCATCTGGGTGGTGGTAATAATTGATTTTCACCTCTCATTGTAGTTGGTTTCCCTATGGTGTACTATTTCGGTCCTGTGGGTCGCCACAACGGCCTCGTGATGGAACTCCTTGGTCCATCGCTGGAGGATCTCTTTGAAATTTGCAATCGGCAGTTCTCCCTCAAAACTGTTATCATGATCGCCCTACAACTTGTGAGTCTGTACAAATTTCTCTTTTTATTGTAACTGTAGGTTAACGTCTCAATAACTCCCCTCTCGGTAGCTTCTAATATTCATTCGTGATCCACTTTTTGGACAAGGTCCGTCAATGTAGGTTTCTGCAATTAATTCAATGTGTATTTCTCCCGCATACTGGATTCACGTTCCTATACGTTCTGTTTGTGCTCGTCCTAAAAGTGCTGCAAATATGACTGTGTAGCCTAGTTTCGGGTCCATAAAGCAACTTAATGGTAGAGGCATCCAGATAGAAATAAGGAGTGCTTAAGAAAGAACACATTTGTAACTAAGCTTTACGTGATAGACCTATTTACAATGACACTGATTGATAGGGAATAGATTGTGATTTTGTTAAAAGATACCACCTCTAAATTATTGTTGTTTCAATTTCAGCTCCAGCGAATAGAATATGTGCATTCTCACCATCTGATATACCGTGACGTGAAGCCTGAGAACTTTCTGATTGGCCGACAGTCCTATGACCGGCACCGCATAATCTACATGATCGACTTCGGTTTGGCCAAGGAGTATATCGACCCAGACACCGGTAAACACATCCCCTTTAAAGACCACAAAAGTCTCACCGGCACCGCTCGGTACATGAGTATCAATACCCACCTCGGCAAAGGTAAGTGGTCGAACGTTAATTAGATCAATTTAAGTGTCGTCCCAGTCCCGATCGAGGTAATGCTACTGCAGTCTTAACAATTTCGTGGTTTAATTGCCATTTACTTGAGTGAAATAAAGTAGTACATTTGTTGATTGAAACTCATCTTCTGGATGTATCTATTGCTACTTTCCTCTTGTTGAAGTCTTTTCGTAAAAGCTTGGTAGAATCTGTTACTTCTGTGACCCCTTAAGTTCTTTACCTATGTATGTCATCAAAGATAATGATATAGACTTACAACTATTTATAGCACTACATTCTCAGAGTATAAAGATGTGAGTTGTGGGGTTAGGAGGTCTTGGCCCCGATGTAAAAGGTTTCTGTAAGTTGCAGCTGACGCTGTTTTGTCCACGAGACCGTTAATCGAGCATTTTTTGTTTCTCGTTCATGTTAAGCTCGTATGCGATGTTGCCTGGTGGCACTTGTAGGTATTAGGTCTCAATAGCCCCCCCCCCTCATAGCTTGCGTATGTGCAGATTTTCCTGTCCCCATTCGTATTTTCCAATTTTCAGAGATGTGATGGTGGTGATGCCACTGGCATCTTTGTTTTAACGGAGGTAATAGTTCGTATAATTCGCGTTTCTTTTAATGGTCTTACTGTCGGCAAGTCAAATTTTTGTCAATAACTAGTTCGTTTCATGTTCTTTGCAAATTGCCGTTTCCTTCACTTATGCTAGAACGCCAAATCGTGATTGCCTATGATGGATTGTTGTTTTCGCCATTAGGTTGGTTTATGTGGTAAATTGTACTTTTAATAAACGCTACGGTAACACGATAGGGATTGTAAGGGCTAATGCACCAGAATTTGGTCTTAGGAGCTTAGACCATATTTAACAGGTGACGGATCTCAACAATCCAATAAAGGTGTAACATGATGGTGGGTGCGGGGGTGGGGGTGGATGGAAATATCATATGGTCAGGGGTATGCGTGTGTGTGTGTGTGCGGTAGTGTTTGGTGATGTGCTTTTAAATGAAACAAGCGACAATAATAGAAAGTTCAATCGATAACCTAACCTAGACATAATAAATAGGGGTTTGAATCGTGTGCATATGTAGATCAAAGAGTCAATTCCATAAAGAATGCGATTGAAATGTAATTTCTGAAAATGCCATGTAGTCTTATTATTTCAAAGTAAGAATCTTTAGCAGAGTCAAGCGCTGGGGGACTCACCGACACCGTTTTGAGATTGGAGAGGAGTTATACGAATTTAGAGTTCAAGGGCCATTACATTCGAATAAGGCTAATTTTCCCTAATTTAAATGCATATCTTGTTAAAAATTTAGCTCACTCTTGATTGTTGACCCGCTGGTCGTATGTTTTAAAGGGGTGAAAGCACATTTCTTTCTTAATTTATTTTTTCCGTACTATCCGCCCATGTGATGTAACAATTTCTTAGAGTTCCAATTCTCTCACTTTTATCGTGTGGGCCGTGTTAATGTGTCTCCTTTTTGTTGCGTGGGCAGTAAATAGGTCAGTTGTTTTCATCATCATGAATTATTCAATTCTCTGTTGCTAGTGGATATAATCTCGACATATCGTGGTAGATCAAGTTTACGACAATTTCTCATCGTCCGCTAGTGAAAATGCGGCGATTGTTTTGCGTTGGAGGATTTCTTATCCTTGCCCTAATGGAAGTACTGCTAGGATAGGAATATCGAAATTAACGACTTCACAGATTTTTTACTTAATTTGCTCTGTGGCGTCAAAACCATGTAATTTGTCTTTCTTTTCTGCTTGGCGAACACGTTTTTCACATTTTCTTGGGCCGAATTTTAATATGAGTACTAATAAAGTTACAAACCCTTCGAAGTACATGTTAAATTTGTTGGTGGTACAACTCTTTCTAGTGAAGTGTCTCTTTTCTTTTGTTTTGCTTCACTCAAGTTTGGAGTGTTGCTTCAACCCTGTGACAATTTCGGTTCTTCTGGTTTTAGCTAGGATTAAATGATCTGTTGTGTAAATGATCATTGAATGCACGCATTTACCCCTTACCCCTTCCCCCATTTTTCTTTGTAGAGCAATCGCGGCGGGACGACCTTGAGGCGTTAGGTCATATGTTCATCTATTTCTTGCGTGGTTGTCTCCCCTGGCAGGGTCTCAAGGCAGAGAGTCTCCGTGAACGCTACCAAAAAATCGGCGACACCAAATGCGCCACTCCAATCGATGTCTTGTGCCAGGGCTATTCCGGTTAGTCCCTTTATCTCCCGTACTCCTAATTAAAAGTGGGGAAATTGTCAATTTTTTTCCTGCAATCATCGTATGGCTGAGATTTTTAAAATCCCTATTTCAATGCCACCCTAGTTGCTAGCATTTTTGGAGCCAACTTCATTTATAACTGAGAACTTTTAACCAAGAAAAGAAGATCTCAGAACATGTTTATTGTCCTAAATTAAGGACAAGGTTCAAATGTCTCAAATACAATAGGTGAAATTTCAACCTTCTCCAGAGTATAAGACTTACTAACCAAATATATATGCATGTCTGTTGGAACAACACTTCCCTAGCCCATCGAGGAAGCACTATCAAGATTTTACTTGAATAGAAGTATTCTGCAGTTCCTCTTAACAGATACCCACATTCTACCTTTTTGCCTATTTTCTTGAAATAACTGGCGGGGCTGACCACGTAAATCTTGGAATGTGCACCAATGGGCATTGATCTCGTGACCTCTGACTTGGCAGATATGCGCTATCTTCGCTCCTTCTTCAGTTAACGCAACTTTAAGGTAGCTGTGTATTAAAGGCATTCATATCAACTGATTGATATGCCATCTCTTAAGTCGGCTGTGAGTGAGTGCTTTTGTCATATGAAAGCTCATTACCTTGACGCTTTTATAACAATGCTGCGACTTTTCCTCAACCTGGGTCTGCTTTTGAACAGTAAGCGTTGTTGCTTTCTCGTCTAATTTTGTTGCCTTTCGCAACGGATCTTTCACGCCTTCACACCTTATTGCTATGAATTATTATGGCTTGGACTACTCCGTGTTGTAAAGGTAAATGGGTTAGTTATTTGTCAGTTGTTACAGTGTCTCAGGAGCGCGTAGCTTGTTGAATCTATGCATATTTAAAAGCGTAATACAGTTTGCTACATACTTACGGCGTTATTTGGAAATCACTTTTCTATACAATCGTTCGATCATTCTATGCTTTGTAAAAAGGATAACTGTCAATGGAAGACTTCATTGAGGTTCCATTTTCCCTCTTTTAGAAATGGCTACCTACCTGCGTTACGTTCGAAGTTTGGACTTTTTCGAGGTTCCAAACTATGAGTACTTGCGATGGATCTTTACCGATCTCATGAAACGCCAGCGATGGGAACTCGATTGGGAGTTTGACTGGTGCTACCGACCCCTCCCCGGTGCTCCTAAAGTAAATCCCCTCTCTTCCTCTGACCACTCATTCGTTTTATCTTTGGTATTTCATTTTTATGCTTATTTTCACGTTTGTAGGGCAGTGTACAGCATCAGAATAGTAGTGTGCCTGCACCGCCACAAACCGATCCAAATCCTGTCGCAGGTCATTCCACTCAGCATCCCCCTGCTCCCAATGCCACCACCGCCCCCTCCTATTGGTCCACTCATCAAAGAAAGATAATCGACGCTAACGGCGATGATAAGGTATGTCATTTCTACTCATTAAGAATAAGTAGCAGCAATTTAATTCAATTGTGTAATTTTAGCAACTACTCGGAGGCTGCGATTCCATTTTGCCTAGTGATATGCCACTGGCGGAGGTGGTACCACAACCGCCGCCACAGTCCGGTGGAGCCTATCATCCCGCTGGCAACACACAACAAACCCCTTCCAATGCCGAAATTGCAGATCAACAGCAATTTAATTTGGCGACCTCTGCTGCTGCAAATAAGGCTACTGTTGCAGACGCTTCTTCCGGCTCGCAGGCTTGCGGGTAAGCACCATCTGTATAATATGGGTAGCTAAAACAATTACAGCAAATCGCTCTTTCTGGTTTTTTGACGTTGAAAAAACCATATTTTCTAGCATCCCCTTTTTGTCATGTGATTGCGTAGCGTTAAATATGAATTTTCTTAGAAGACATTTTAGCTACCTTTTTGTACAGATCGTTATTAAATCGCGGCATATAGTTAAGCCAATATGAAAGCACGTAAGGTGTATGAAAAGACGGAAGGAATTAAAATTTCTTAGATGTTTATGTAGTGTGTGGAAGCGGTTATTTTGTTTGCAATACGACAGTCCTCGAACAAGGAACACGAGTATGTTCTAGTCACGACCCAACGTTTGAGCTCCTCACTAGCCCATGTTATCCGTCTGCTAATGCGCGTTTTGCAGTCTTATCAATTCTTGTTGTTTTTATTACATTTAAGGCTTGGCTTTGTTTCTTTTAGGTGCTGCGCCTGTTTCAGACGTCACCGCAACCGACGCCAACGCTCTAGATTTAAGTAGTTGTGCTATAGCAGCATGGCAGACGAATCCACTCAATCCGCTTCTGCTGGTTGAATTTCCCATCCTTCCTTCCTTCCCTCACTTCAACTCCAAACACAACACACTCCAATCTGCCAACCTCCCTTTTACCGTGTCTGTTTGCTTCTTCCCCCTCCGAACCCCTATACTCATGGAAGAGGGGAAAGACTGAGTCCCCCCCCCTAACTCCCGCCTTTTTGCAAAAAATTGAAATTCTCTTCCCTGTCCATCCTTTTCTGTTACTACGCAGAGGTGGATAATGAATGACGATATCCATACAAGAAAATAAACAATCCGATGATATATACGCACACATATATGTGTGTGTGTGTATGTGTGTGTGCGTGCGTGTGTAATGATGGATTGTGATTTCCTTCCTTAAAGGAGATTGGTGAGGTTAATTGATCTTCCGCTCAGAATTGTTAGTTCTTAATAAGAGAACTAAATTAAAATGTACTAAATTGGCATTCATCAATGCAGTAATCAAACTGATTTTTGTTGTTTTTTCCTTACGCAATAATGTTACGTTATGTTATTGGCTCGTTGGGAACCTCAACAGAAATGGTTTTTACTTTACCATTGGCCCTTCTGAATTAGATATTGTCTTCTCTCTTGTTTCTCAGATATTGCAGATTATGGCTTCTGTAATTGATCTGTCTGTAGTGTTCTGTGTAACTTTTAAAATATTACGGAATTTCCTGTTTGACTGGTGGTCAATCCGTGTCTGGCCCAATACGTATTACTTTAAATTTGACGATAGTCTTTTGTATGTTATCGGCATTGAAATGAAAGATCATTGGCGTATTCTATTAATCCAAGCCTCAAAAAGAAAAGTCTCCGATCATTTAAATTTATATTCAAAAAATATGAAATTCTTTACACAGAGGAGGTTTCACCACAGCCTCTCCAGGATGGTTTTATCCTAAAATAAGAAATCGAATTGAAAATTAGATTATCACATTTCATGAAACCTAGCCTCCTAGTGCTGCATGGTGCGGCACCAGGACTTACGAAGTTGTCCGCTTTCTGGGATTGGACCCGTTGAGCTTGGCGACAATGGCGATGGTTGATGTGAAGACGGTGAGAACGCCGAAGACAAGAAGGGCTGAGTAACCGAACTGCTTCGTCTTGTTGTACGGTGTGAGATCGTAGAGAATGCTCTCTTGGGGATTTTGCTTGGCCTCCTCCAGAGTCAAAGCAGAAACCATTGTTCCAATGAGGGCTGTACTGACGGCAGCTAACAGACTGAATTTTACCTAAAACGCAAACAGCTTTCTTTGCACTTGTGCATTTATTGTAGCAATGACTAGACTTGCCGGCATCTGAGGAAAATCAGACTAGCAAATTTGTTTAAAAGTCAGTACAGTCCTCCTTTATGAGAAGGCCGGCTAGGGACGAAAAGGGTGTACGTGGAATTCCAAGATGTATTGCAGCAGGCGATCAGGCCATCAAAATATCGAGGATCTTAAAAACCACCCGTCTGGAGAGTGATTATTGTTAACCTAAAAGTTCTGATCATCGGAAATTCCGATTTGATTTTGGGGCAATTGTGCCTTCCTTTTATTGCTTTGCCCGAAAGATTGATGTCAAAACGATTGTGTTGCTTTGGAATCATAACATCATGTTTTTCATTAACAAATGGACACGGTATAAGTACAAAATGACAAGACCTGTCTAAAATAACACAGAATCTGCTGTAACGACATAAATCTGATAACGTTAGTGGAAGCCCTCAAATACCTTATCAGTGTGATATTGAACGAAACATGGTGACCTTAATCTCAGTGTCCGTCTAGTTTGGCAAATTTGCAGAATGACAACACATCCATTGCCTTATTGCAGACATGCTGTTAATAAAGGAAACACTCCACAGACGCAAATTGATAACCTAAAACTTTTTTATTGGAGAAGAAAGCGCTGTTAACGAATGAAGAGCCGATAAACCGTTAATTTGCCTTGTTAATCAATCTTGATCTAGGGTAACAGGGAACTAAATGCTATAAGCTGAAATCAAGAAATCGAGGACAATTACGCAGTGTTTACGAATGATCGAGCTCCAGAGTGGAACCTGAAAGTAGTTAAGATCTTAACAAGAAAGGTTGCAGAGTGGATCTATAGATAATGACTTCCTTTGACAAAACAATCGAAGCGTCTCGGATTCCGTTCGTTCAGTACTGACTATTATTGATCTCTCAACGTGTTTTCGACTCCCACTTCACAATTCTTGAAAGGATGGTACATTTTATTTGAAAACTAATCACGATTACACATTACGATTCTTTTCGCTAATTCAATCGAATTGGTAGCCTTAATTGAAGCTAATTCAAGCTAGTTAACGCTAACAATTAACTTCGAAGTAAAAAAAATTTCAGCGAATTTTGAAATCATGAGCCCGTTCTCCTCTGTACGAATAGTACTGGGGAGACTGGAATATCGTCGAACAAAAACCCCCTATGCAAACCTCGCCTTGAAGCTTGCTTGGAAATAACTAGAATTCAAAGCTACGGTAAAAGTGATAAGGTGGTCATGCTTGACTGCTCTGCAATGACTGAAGCATTCTAAACTATAATAAAAATATAAAAATTTTTCCAAATTTCTCCTCCGTTTCCACTAAAATCTGGCGGTGCCAAGCAACTAAATGTCTCAAGAAGCTCGATTTCGTCTAATCATAATTTAATCATGTTGTGAAACGTCGAGTTTTCAAAAATGATTAAAAGATTATTAATAGGCGTCAAGACAGAATAATGGCCACTCATTAAGCGACATTGCTATCATTGTGTAATTAAGCGATATCAAGACATATTCAAAATAAACTTAAATTAAAACTGATCATGTAATTAATAAATAACAGAGAATATTGAAGAATTCTGACATAAGGAATAAAACTAAGAAAACACAAATTTTCTATGACTAAAAGTAACTTGTTATTTCTGGGCTTTAATTTAAAACTAATTACAAAGTCAAACTTCAAAGGCTTACCATTACTCGAAATGCAAGGCTACCGGTTTTGGCAGGATCTTTTATACTCCCACTGAGCAACACGAGATGGAGATTGGTTACTTAACGGACCAATCACAATGCCGAATATTCTTAAAGACTTATCCACATGTCCCTTCGTTTTTGTTAGAGTGGATTCAGAGAAAAGACCCCTACAACCACCGTACGAAGGACCTTACAAAGTCCTCAAACGCAAACCAAAATATTTCATTCTGGACCGCAACGGCAACAAGGACTCCGTTAGTATCGACCGTTTAAAACCGGCTTACCTGGAGTGCCCTATACCAAATCCCGCGGTTAGGATTCACCCATCCGGTCCTACAACTCTAAAAACCGAAGAGCCTATATCAACCTCGTCCACCACCCCCCCCCCCCCCCCCCCCCCCCACCACTTCAGTCCCTAACCGAAGATACTTCGGCCTCTGCAGTTCCCCCTTCTGTCCCTCTTCAACCTGAACCCTATTACACTTGCTACGGCCGAAAAGTTACCTTCCCCTCCAGGCTGGCCGACTATGTACACTCGATATGTCGAGCGTTTTCTTTCTCCTTTTAGGTTCCTACAACCGCTCTAGAGGGGGAGTATTGTGGGACACGTCATCGCATGCCTGCACGCCAGGATTGGGAGGTGCGACCTTACAAACAGTGACCAATCATTAACCTCTATTTGTTTAACCTAATCTGCCGTCCTGATCATGATTGAGCTTCCTGCGTTACACGTTATCCGAAAGATACTCGCTGAATAAACGTGCTCCGTGCTACACCTCTTTTTCCTTTATAACTTTGTCTTAGCCTAGCTAATTCCCGGGGACTTTCGAGTTGGAAGAAATTGGTATAGAGGTTACTGAGAATAGTCAAGGTTATTGACGTAGCTAATCCGTTACAAAGGTTACTGTTAAAACAAACCTTCTATATAGCTTAAAAAGGAATTCATTTATCGGATTTAATTGGTATTTATGTGCCCACTTAAAGAAAACATATGACTTCTTTTAATAAATAAAGATGATTCGCCAGCCATAAATTAGAGTTAGAGAGAATCAGTGAGTACACAACCTTAAAATAACAATGCTATGGGAAAACAAGGTACTTAATTTTTGCAAGCTTTAAACTTACGTCCAACTTGCAAACATATGTTTGCGATTCATATTTGGTTTTTTCTCCAAGTCGAATTCATTTCAAATGGATAAAATGTACCGTTGGCAGAAACACGAAAAGATGAGAATTCTTGGAATAAAGATGATCGTTTCCAGGATGTAAATGATAGACTGAGGAAATCACTCAAAGTTTCTTGAAGAATTTTAGAGTTATTAATTGGTTCAGTTTTTTAGAATAGTCTAATTAATAAACGATATTTTATTGATATAAAGAAGAAAATATAAAAGGAAAGGTTAATAGCGTCAATTTCTGATTTATACATTGATCTTTTATTTTGTGGGGTGCGCGATAGACTTACCTCCACGTGGTGCACCCTGGACAACGTATGTTCCTACTGCAAAAAAGTCTATCACTCGGAATTTCGACTTCTTTTTATTATGATTAACTTGAAAAAAGGCTATAAGAGAAATCGCCCTCGTCAGGGCGAATCACAACGTCTTCAGATCCTTGTCAGGGTGAATCACAACGTCTTCAGATCCTCCAGTGGAAGGGGCGAATCACAATGTCTTCAGATCCTCCAGTGGAATGCTGCCAATCACAACGTCTTCAGATCCCCCAGTGGAATGCTGGAGGGATGTCCTAGGGCAAAAAGATCCAAGTCCAGAAAATCCTGCAATCCTATGATGTAGACATTTTCACAAACCTATGATGGAGACATTTTCACAATTATGGAAGCTACATTGGATGACAAACTGAAGTACTACAAATTCCTAGGTTAACCCTGATGCCAAACTGAAGTACTACCAATTCCCAGGTTACACCCTGTACAATTTACCTAAATACCGGCAAGTTGCAATGGAATTGTGACTCCTACCTAAATACCGGCAAGTTGCAAGTGGAATTGTGACTGGAATAAAAGAAAGCATCACCTCACATTACGATTTAATCAAGAGTATGGGCCCGACGCAAGACATATGCGAAATAATTGGATTAAATGTTTGGAAATGTCAAAATCACTTCAAGAAATATGCACACTATTATCCACCCCAGAATAGGCACAACTTCGAATTTCTAAAATAATAATCTTTTACCTTGTGTTTTCCCAGAGTACCGTCAAATACGAATTCATCAGAAGTCTTTTGCGCACAGTTCCAATGTCGGACACCATTTAAATTACCTGCTTAAACCTTTTTTCGTTTGAAGTCAACCATTGTTAGAGGTTACATTCGACTCTTTCCTAGAGTTTTTGAGTGAAGCTGTTCAAAAATGCCATGCACAATTGCGGCGGAATTCACATCGCCTACTCTCTTTGAATATTGAGAAGAAGTCGGCAATAGATGATGCATTTTCTGTTGACTGAGTCTTTCACTCTTGAAGCATGCTTTACTTATTGCAACATGCACAAGAATATGTCGGATGGAATCGACCAGAAAGCAGAAATCTTCACTTTCCTGAAGAAAAGTAGTCGATACCGCTTTTGACGACTGCTAATAGCTATGGATATTAAAGACCCAAGGCCATATTTAAAGGCAGCATTGAATACCGTTTATCAAATGCTTTTAAGAGATAAAAGGTTAAAAAAATCACAAATTGAGTGAATCGTTGTAATGATACGCCTACTTCCTGGAAGGAAGGCGGAAATTCATGAGTGAAGGAAGAGTTTGACATTTCGCTTCTCCATGCTCCCTCGTTCCACACTCACTTCAATCATGATTTGTGTCAGAAAAATTTCATTTAAAGCAAACCGTTTTGTCTAATTATGCGATGCCACTTATGTGGGCTGCCAAACGCAATTGCTATTGAAAGGATGGAATACGTGAAATTCAACCCAACTTATAAACACAGGTAAATAATCGAATCGACAATCTGTTTTTATCCGGACAATTGTGCACAATAAACGCCCATTTAACAAGTAAAATTTTTTACTTTGCACTGATTACAATGTGGTTTAACATATTCGCTACATGTAAACTTTTTTGCCAATTAATGTTATGTTTTTTTAATCTACATATTAGCAATAAGTATGTGGTACTTTGAAAGTTAAGTAACATGAAAATGAATGAAAGGAACATGGGAGAGCAGGAAATGGTAAAAAAACGCGTAGCTCAAATAAAAATTGTCCTGAAAATCAAAATTGCCAATAATGAAGACTTGAAAAAGTTGAGTGATAAAAGTACGTTTCACTTTTACACAAAGAGGTTTAGAAGGTGTGTAGATATCAGAATATGGTTTCATTCGGTTAGACTGGCATGGTCTATTGTGAATGTCCTTGTTAATTTCCAATAATCATCTTCAAGTAGTCTCGTCTTGCGACAGCTATGAAACTCCTCTTCAACCATCCTCTTTTAACTATACTTACCTCCACGTGGTTCACTCTGGGCAACGTATACTCAACCGACAAAAATGTCTATAAACTGGAAGTTGACATCTGACTTCAAACTACCATCGCTCCACTGTATATCATATTTCACAACTTTCACAGTACTCACCACACCTTTTTCATACCTTTGTGTCTGTCTCTTTTGCATCTTGAAAACACTCTTCTGTCTCTCCCCCCCCTTCTCGACTTTCTTTTCACTTTGATTTTCCTTCCCATCTGTGAAGCATAAAGTCAATTAAAGGGCTGATGATAACTATCAAAACGCCTGCCATTTGGCATAAATAAATACTTTGTAATAAGTTGCGTCACATCTTAAAGAAACCTCTCGTGTACCCCTAAGATATTTCAGCCTATTGACTGCAATGCTTGCGAGTTAACTCTGAAAGGACTGTCAGCGAAAAAAATATGTAGAGCAAAGTAGTGCTCTACAAGTAATTCGCCTTATTAAAGTTTACAAATTTACCAGAAATCGTAAGTGCTGTGGAATATGTGGTGTTTGAAGTTGTCAGCGTTCTTCCATGCTGTCCCTCTCATCTACGGTTGGTAAGTGCTTTCAGCTGACCCACAGTCCCATGTGAATCGTGTCATTTCACCCTTCTTCAACCAACCCAGTTATATTGGTTTTCCATGCTTCGTGGTTCGTTTCCCGAATGTTTGAAACTTATTGGTACTGTTGCTATTAATGCTGCACTCACATTTTGAAATTCCTCAAATCCATATGAGAACCGAAAATTATTTACAAATGTCTCTTTTTGCTCTGTAAAATTGCATTTCTTGCTAAGTTTTCTGAAAGCATAAAGGAAAGTGGTTGCATTAATCAGCATTGAAAATGGAAACATTTATTTATTTATATCAAATGGCAGGTGTCTTGATGGTTATCATTAGCCCTTTAGTTGACTTCAGGCTTCACAGAGGGGAAGAAACATCAAATTGAAAAAAGTCGAGAGAGGGGGAACAGAAGAGTGTTTCAAAGAGGTAAAAGAGACAGACACAAAGGTTGAGAAAGGGTGAGGTGAGTACTGTGGAAGTAGGCGAATATGAAATGCAGTGGGGTCTTGGTAGTTTGAAGTCAGAAGTCAACTGCCAGTTGATGGACTTTTTTTGCCGTATGAGTATACGTTGCCCAGGGTGCACCACGTGGAGGTAAGTCTATCGCACACCCCAAAATGGAAACATTATTGTTCGCTTTGCACACGTAAAGCACTTGTTGCTGGCTGCGACATTTCTGCCTTATTAGCCAAACGCTGCTATTCCAATCCATTTGGAAGACTACTTAGATTTCTCTGTGCACTAAGAACGCCTCCTGATTAAACCAATTGCTTAAACCTCAAGACGGACACTCTGATTGATTTGCCCATCGTGAAAGTGAATTTTGTGGAGAGGAAGTCATATAAATATTCTACTTTTAGAGATAGTAAAGTGGCTCTACAATTCTCTTACCCTCTTTTTGCAATTAAAAGCTTCCCTTTTTTTGAATAATTTCTTTGGCAAAGAATGAATTTCTTGTTTCAAAGTAGACTGAGAAATCAAAAAAAGGAACCTCATCGTCCAAGTTCCCCTCTGCCGAATGTTGACTGAGGACCACTGAGGTTTGTGCATTAACTTCTACATAAACACTACCTAACGAGTGCACGTTGAGACACCGGGGAAGATTTTCATATAAAGAGAGTTCATTATTTGTCGCTTTTAACTGAAATACTTGCAGCGTAGGAATATAAAAGACCAATTACTTCTTGGCGCTCAGAATGATCAAAGCTTGAATTAACTAGATTTTGGGGAACTTAGCTCTTATGGATATTCGGTGACGGTAATAAAATTAAAACCGAAGCTCAACATATGCGCAAATATAGAACTACCCACGTGACTAAATTTTGAGAAACCCTTGAGGAACACGCCCCTCTCCCGCCCAAACGGCCACTCCTCCTCGTGATGAGAAAATGTTCAAGAAGGCAGTAAAGCTACCTCGGAGGGTATCATGGAAACAGAACATATGAACATTTGTAAAAGAACCACATATTAAGTCCCCATAAACAACAAATAATAACCCTAGTTGCATAAAATTGAGAGGTTACTAAACGCACTCTCGAACATTCCAAAATTCCCTACCTAAAAATTATAAGGACAATCCTGCCCCACATGAAGAAAATTTCATTGCCTTAAACAATTTTAATAAATAGCATTCTAAAACTTACCTTTTGCAGCATGTGAAGCATTTTATTATTTTGTCCATATTTCCATTTTTCCAACCCACACATGCTCAATAATAATAAATTAGATTTAATTTTGAAGCGAAAGATTTTCGTATATTTTTGACGGGCTATTGTTCAAAAACTTGTTTTCTGCTAAAAGCTTCAAAACATTGCTGCTTTTGTGGTGGATTGCTAAAAATAATAAGCCTTGACCATGCAGAGAAATATCTATGGCAGATTCCCTTATGTGGAGTAAAACTCCTCTATAAGCTATTGAGGAGACAGAGGTATCTCACGGAACTCGTTTAGTTGGGATGTGGGTTGTTGGGCGTACGTGGGTGCGCTCGCCCTGACAAGTAGCTTAGTCATTGTATTAATATGTTGGGTTTTATAAACCATGTTAGTTGGATGGTGTACGCCGCACCTTCAAATCTGCCTGAATGCGGGTGAGACTACTTTGTTCGTGTGCTCCACACTATTGTATTCGTTAGTGACAGCAGCTCTATACGCTGTGCAATTGGGGAAAGGATATCTACTTTTGTAGAATTGTGACCCCCTTTTTGAAATAATTTAAACACAGTGTACACCTCTACAGGCGTCACCATTTTTATGCACATATAATTGAATTAATACTGAACTGATCACCAATTTGCGCACAAGGCCGAGTAATTGGGAAAAGTGGTAGATGATGCTACCGATATTCTATCTAGACAGAAGCATAGAATAGAATTGTCATTTGCTAAACCATTATGGAATATTTTTAGTAAGTTGGTCAGTGCGAATTCATTTTACTATAACTCAGCCTATCGTAATAAGTTCCAAATCAATAATATTTACCAAATTTATTGCGAAAAAAGCTTTTTTTTAAGAAACACAGGATTTGGAGTGTGTCGCCGTACACGTAGAGGTCAGCTCTGCTATTTAACTATTAATGTTCACTCAAGTTATGTTAGATTTATTTGACAACCATTGGCCTTTGCCGATTTGGTAATTGGCAATAAACGGGTTTCTGTGTAATACGTCTCTTTCCTACCTAGCTTTGCTGAGGCCTAGTTAATTCAAGGGGTCTAGCCAGATATAGGAGATACTGACAAAGATTTCTGAGTCGGTCAAGGCTTTA